ATTTGGTTTCTTCCTAATGGGCCTAATGAGTGTCTCCTTGAGGGCAAGGGGAACCTTGCCCTCCTGGAGAGACCCATTAATTATTGGACCCATTAATTATTGCAGTGGCCCATTCAGTTGTTACCGGCCTGGCTGCTTTGATTAGCCAGGCCGGGCAAGGGTCGAAAGAAGAGGTGGTGGCCCGACAGCGATCAAGCGCCTTATCTACCAAATCTGATGTTACAGGCTGAAAGGAGTCGAGAATTACCGGGCAGGACGGAGCTCTGGACATCTCATTAATGGCAGGCTGTCAGGCTGTAAAGCAGAAGAACACAATCTAGCACCCTCCAGATGTTTTGCATTACAACCTCCACAATTCTTGCCCACTGGCCATCTAGTAGAACCATGTTGGCTTAACTCTGCTGTAATGCCTTCAGAGATAGAAGATACAAATAGCCTGTTCAAAATGAGTGGTTGTGTGGCTTTCATCCTGTATTGGAACCATATGGGCTACCATCGTAACCAAACTCATTAGAGGGCAAGCTCTGGTGAGCTCAACAACAGATATACTTGAGTAAATATTCATAAGATTGTACTCCACATTATAGTGTTATCTGTGTTTCTATCACACCAAACTATTCAAGATTACAGTATCTAAGTTAAAAAATCAGAAAGAGTATTTATTTATTTATTTATTGTCATTGTAAGTACATACACAGTATACCCATACAATGAAATTCACAGACACCCAGAGACCAGACACATGCACACACATAAAATTCCCCAAACACTCCCCACCCACTTCAGAAGTATCATGAAACTTAAAAAAAAAACCTACTTAAACTGTGAATGAAATTAGTGTCTAGAACAGTGGACACAAATGTTTTGATATGGCTTAATTATAATCACTCAATAAAGATCTGATATTGAATTTTAGATTTCAGTGAAAACAATCAAATCACAATACTGAACTAGCACTGTTAACAACTGTTAGCACACTATGTTTTGCTACTACTGCAGCAAATTCAGAACCGGGATTATGAACTAGCACTGTTAACAACAAATACATTCACTGGCAGAAAATTATTAGGAGTAAATATTAACACAATGAACATAACAGTGCAAACAAGATAAATGTTGTGCATTGTTAAGACAGTAGGGGGCAGAAAAACAAACAGAAGTAGGATTTCCTAAAATGCTTTATTTACTTAAAGTATTCATGATTACATGCAAACACACTGACTAGACAAGGAAAGCAGGATAAATTCATTAATAAACCTGTCAGATATGGGAACTGAAACTATGGAGTGCCATGAGTATGCAACCAACTACATGGCTGACTACCATAGATAGGTTTAGCCAATAATAGGTGCTGCATGGCCATTGTCCTCAGGAATTTATTTACTGTTTTTTGTCTTGGAAACACTATTTAGGATAAACTGCAGGACTAAGTTGGAAATTGGCAATTTGGCTAAATGCATGAGCCAATTCCATATCACAATCTGCTCCAGGATGCCTCTCATGCCTCCTCCTACTTTTGCATGCCACAGCAAAAGTAGACCAACCTACATCCAGTTTGTTTGTTCTTCCAAAAAAATGCATTATAGAGGAAGTCATAAGAGGAAAATGCACCTTGTTTTAAAGGAGCATCATCCTTCCAAGAATAGTTCCGTCTTAATAAAAATGGCCTGCCCCTGAAATGCTATTATTTTTTTTAAAAATGTGTGCTTTTTAAAAAAATGTGATGACATATTCAAGTAGATATCTGCATTGCTTGTAATTTAAAAATGTCTGTAGTTTTCTACCAGTTAACATAAAAGGGAAACCAATGGCATTTAAGAACACTAATACGAGTTGATAAATACAACATCTAAATGTGTGCATGCATGTGCCCTCTAAGATATAGTTTAATACAGCCATGCAAATTTATTGCTTGGTTTTGTAACAACCAACCCATGACAACCCTGCACAATAGATAAGATACAGTACTATCATTCTTCTGATGTAATAGGGTCGTTTTCATTTTTAATAAGCATAGCTATTCATGATTTAACAAGTCTGCATGGCTTTTTCTTTTCTTAAAAAGAGTACTAATGCAAAATGTTTGATATGACAAGTTTTTTTTTCCTATTTGTGGAATCTGAAGGCAAATTTTGCATTATACTAGCCCATCAGCATTCTGAACAGCATAACACAGAGCAACTTTATTTGAAGAGTACTTCAACTGACATTTTTGAAATGTAGTGTTAACTGTTTGCCAAATTCTAGCCAAAGCTATCCCATGATCATTTTCGTAGTGTTCTAATATTTACTACCCAGATTTACATTAAAAGATTTGCATTTACTTGTATGCAATGAAAAGCTTGCTATAAGGCTACAGACAGAAAGACTTCCTTCATCAGATTTACTTTGTTAAGGGTATAGCACTTGCCCTGTATAACATAATACAGCCGAAACAGTACCAGAGTGACTTTTAATCTCCAGCAGTGACATCTGTTGCTTACTTTCTAATGATGCAGTCTGGAAGCCATTCAACAGTCAAAATAATAGCACATCTTTCAAACAAATTAAACTGTCATCTGTGATAGCCACATAGAAATTGACTAGTCACAGCATGCACCAACAGCTTGAAGCAATAGCAGTTTGATAAAGGGGAATTTTTTTTATTTTGCTCACCACTAGTCCTTCTATGTTAACTTTCTCAGAATCTGTTTAGTAGGGAAAGCAGAAAATGATCCAAGCAGTGTTGCTTGCATATTCAAACCTAGACTGTTGTTACACTGACAATCTGAATCAATTTCTGTTCAGACTTTTTAAAAATCAGGTTCGAGTCACATGGTACTTAAACAAGTGCCTGTGTTCACTTGCACTGAATGGAAATTGATTTATTCTGGTGCCTTAAACCAGTTTTGGCATATACTCTGCTGAAATCAACTCATTTCGTTTCTGTTTTAGGAGATGCTATTCTTAAAAATTTGATTTTTTTTTTTAAGTAAGTGATACATCGATAAATCAAGTACTTATGAGGTGCCATCTGGTTTCATAATAGTTATTATAAACTACAGAGGAAACATTAGAGATTAAAAAATGAGAATGGGCAGGGGCAAGTGCAAGAAACCCCCCCCCGTCATTTTTGCCATTGTTAGAGGAGCCAGTACAACTGAACTCAGTGAACATATCTGCATGACATTGCACTGCACTAGAAGCTACACCAGGTTTTTGCTTTTAAAAAAATGCAAACCATTATTAAAGAGGAACAAAAACTAACATTTCACCATGACCACATTGTGCCAACAGGAAATGACAAGAAGATGGCCAAGGATATGTCTCAGGAGCTTTTATGGGTGTAGGAATGCCAACAGGAAACTACTAAACATCAGTGGGGTGGCCATGAAACACTAAGAAGCTGTCATCAAGCAGCAGTAGAAAATTTGGGATGGGGGGAGAGAGACAGAACAGACAATAAGGACCCTACCAAGAAGAGATGGTTACAGTAGGCACAATCTAGATTTAATACACAAAAACTGAGTAAGAAGGCTGGGGAAATGACACTGCATTAATTGCATACCTGTTGCAAAACCGCATCTCCTGCAGATTTGAATGGGCCATTGACAAACTTCCAAAACCCAAGTTACACTTAATTAAATGGCACCCAGGAGATCTTAAGAGTTCAAAAAGTGAATGCTGAGCTTCTGGGTTGGGCACACACTTCAGAGCTTCTGCCTGACCACACAGAAATACCTGAAGAGAAAAACCTTGGAGCGAGTCAGCGCAGCTGTAGTCCACAAAACGCCCTCCTATCATCAGGATGTCAGCCTCTTGCAATGCCCTACGCAGAATTCAGCTGGTTGTTTCTCTGCAAGAAACTAGCATAACTACCCCACTGGAACCGGTTGCACGGAGAGTTCCCAATTTCCACCCGAGACACTGTCCACATCTCACTGTTAGCTGAGAAGCTTCCGCCGCCGCCGTTCCCCCTTTTTTGGCACTTTCTCCCCTTCTCAATCCTGCTTCGAAGCATCCTCACCCTTCGTCTTCATGGCCAGCATACTCGCTCCATCTCGTCACCTATCCCCGTCCCCCGCCGCCCCGCTTGTGTGTGCGTTATTTTCTGACACACACACATACCCCTATGCACCCACTCCGACACACACACACACACACGCAGAGAGAGAGAGAGAGAGAGAGAGACATATGACGCGTCCCTCCACATTCCCCCACACCGTCGGGACCTCAGGCATCTATCCTTTCCTTCAGAGAGAGAAGGGGACGAGGGAGAAAGCAGAAAAGCACCGGAGCCAAGCCGCCGAAAAGGCGGCCGGGCGAAGGCGAGGGCGCACCGCTGTCGGTCCCGGGCAGGCGGCCCCGGCCCCGCTTGGCGCTCAAGCGCTTCGGAGGCAGGACCGAGAAGCTCGGAAGGGGCTCCAGACCGCGGGAAAGCCGCGCGAGCAAAAAAAATCTCTCCTCCCCACAAACAAGGCTCGCCATCCCGCGGGGGCGGTGAAGAAAGTCCCTGCTCGACCGGGAAAGAGCGCTCTGCCCGCTCGCTCCCTTTGTCGCGCTCCCGCCTTTCTTCTCTCCACCCGGCCAACCCTCAGCCCGCCGCGACTCCCGTACCTATTTTAATCCGGACGCTCTGAAACACCCGGAGCCCCCCTTCTTCCACCGGCATGCTGCAGCCTGGCGCCTCAGCAGCTTCCTCCGCCGAGAAAGAGGCCGGCTCGCGCTGCACCCGCTGCAATTGCAAGTGCGGCGCGAGGCTG